ATCTATAAGATAAATCAACTTCAGATTAATTCATTATCAATAACTTGCATCCTTAAGGAGTTAACTTAATTTATACCTACTCATATTCATGTAATTAAGCGTTTTAATTATTTGGCCGATTAATCGAGAAAACAATCAACAGATTAATCGATTATTAAAATATCGTTAGTTGCAGCCCTACTCACCTGCTAAAGCTTATATCTGCTCAGAGTGGTAAGGTGTCTTGGTGGTCTTTCACTCTTCTGGGGGGGCCCCATGTATCAATAATGCATACATACACAAACCTTGTCTACACCCCTGTTCATTCAAAACTTCAGATGTATTAAGATAGAAATGAGAGTGGAAATGTGTGCAACTTCATGGCTGGCATTCACACATTTCTCTTTCTGGTTCTATTGGCAACAATTAAGTGATTCTGGGAAACTGTTTATACGAAAACTATTATTGTTCTTACCAGAAACACACAATTATCAATTAATGCATCCACATGTAGCTATGCGGTTAGATTATTGGACATAAATGAATGAGCAAAGTGATACCTTTAACAACAACAGATTCAGTCTTATTGGAGGAAAWAACAAATGGCACAAAACAGGCTCAGAAATGCTTGGATGGCTGTGCACCCGGACTGTAGCGTCACTCTCACTCACACACGTTTGTTTTTATATCCTCATGAGGACTTTGCACTGACTTCCATTCCAAAATGTAATTTCTGTAGCCTAACCCTGAACCTCAGTGAACTGTCACTAGGAGGAACTCTTCTAAATAATGTAAACATTTATTTTTTTATTAGATTAACCTCATTGTAAACATCCTACACATACCTACCAGACCACACCCCAAACCAGACCCGACCCCACTTCTCATCCTACACTGCATAAACCTCCCTTCTCTGAACTTTTCTCACAGCACATGACAAAGACTCAATGTACTGGCTGAGTTCTACTCAAACAGTACGCTGTCAAAATGAGGTGAGCTCAATCCATGTCTTTGCTATAATCATCTTAAAATGTGTTTTTCCATTGCTGTAAAGTTGAAACAAAGTGAAATTTACTGTCCCGTGAAAGGAGGAACCAAGGTTTAAAAGACAAAACGTAAAGAAAAAGCTTTTTTGTTCATGTGTTCATGTTAAAAAGAAAGATTTTCTTAGTATTTGTTCTGATTAACTACTGTAAAAACAATTAGAGAAAAGTAAATTACAGAATAATTTGCTTTTGTTTATATAGCTCTAAAATCATAAATATTTATCCAAAAATAATTTGGCGACTCATTTTAAAAACATTACCTTTTGTGACGGACTTAGAAAAGATTTGGGAAAAATAAGTTTTACACCAACTTTAGCAAACAACAATGAATGACGCCATCTGCTGGCCCGGTACAGGACCTGTAGGGCTTCAGGGGTTTTAAAGCAGTATGATTAGATGATTAGGATTTACAAAAGATTTTGCTTGGATTCCGGCATACGCACGGTTTGATTCATCTGGATATATTTGTGTGTATGATGTTTTCTTGATTAGACCGTAAGAAATCCACACAAGTCTTTGTAGACGAGGCCTCTGCACACGTCCTACATTCCTTCCATTTGTTGATGGTGGATTACAGAGAAACCCTGAAGATATTCAGGGCCTTGGAAATTTGTTTGAACCCACCCCTTGACTTGAACTTTTTAATAATCTTTTCTGTGAGTTGAATTGGGACTTTAAAGAGAGTAAATATTTATACAATTACTTATTTTACATATTTCCATTTAATTGGGTTTATTCTGAAGACGTACTTTGAAACTGATACTGTTTTTGGTCATTTTTTAAATAATATAGATCATGACTGATTTATAATAGCAATTAAAGGGTGAATACTTTATATAGGCACTGAATATTAGTGTGAGCAGGTGGTGAGGTTATATTGGAGCTTTTCTGTTCTTAGGATGATTCCAGACATTCAGTCGTGTTGTTTTCATGGCCCACATGTGGTTCCAGTCTTTAATGATCCTGCTTCTCGTTTTATCAGCGGCTGCACAGGCAAAACGTGTCTATTTAAAAGCTATCCTGCATTATTTTGGGCTTCGAAGCTGCTGGTTTGGTTTGGCTGATTAAAAAAAGAAAGTTGTCTTTTCTTCCATTTCCAATAAATGTGAGGATTAAACAGCCTCATATGTACMTGCCTATCTATATTTGTTCTACATGTTGACTTTCTGGGAACCAAACCACACAGATTTCCTTTGTGAGCCAGAAGTTGGTTTATTTAAAACTGGAGGCTAAACTAACAGAAGTGGGTGGAGTCATGGGTGAAGATCGCAGTTTGAACAGAAGTGATTTTTAGACCTGATTTATTTATATAAGAGTAAACAAAGAACAACTGGTAGGTCTGCCGGGTGGAAGTTGTTACTCACCAGACTTTTTGCAGACAGCTGGTTCTTCAGAGGACAGGCTTGGCTCTGAACAGAACTGTCAGCTGAGGAACATGTAGGCTCAGAGGAGTCTGAGCCCAGGCTCTGACCAGGGGTTGGCACTCTGAGTGGAGATGCTGCCGTCTGTGGAGCAGCACAGGTGGAAGTAGATGAAGAGGAGATAGAAAGAGGAGGTTCAGGAGGGCCAGAGAACATGGATGACGGGTGGAGCGGTGAAGACAGCTCTCCATGTGGAATTGGTGACAGAGTTTGTGGAGAAGATGTTGATGTTGAAGCATTGAGGTGCATGTGGGCAAACAGAGCTCTTTTGGTACTGGCAGAGCTCTTCTTGGTACCATCCCTGGATGTGAGCAGTGAGGAGGAGCTGCTTGTGTACTCCTTTAGCTGGCCTCCTGTTGGACTTTCCTTGCCATCAGCAGCAGAGCTGCTACTGTCCTTTGGTTTGTCAGGAGCTGCATCTATATCCACATTTTCTATGAGCTCCTTAACTTCCTTTTGTTGCACTGGATGAATTGATCGGTCTACAAAGTGTCCTAGAACAACAACAACAACAAAAAACATTATTGTCCCAAGCCATACATAGAAATTAAAGTCCTTGAATGAAAACATAAGCACTGCTGCCTTTAATGATGATACTACACTTTTTAATTTAACCTTTATTAAACCAGGTAGATCTTATTGAGATTAAAAATCTCTTTTTCAAGAGAGACTTGGCCAAGAATGGCAACAGCACACATACATTACCAAATCCAAACCTACTGATATTAAATTACAAATAATCACATTATGATAAGTAAAAGAAAAAAGAAACACCCAAAAAAGGTAAGATGGGACTAAATTAGAGAACAAAATCAGTTATAACATTTACAAACAAAGGTCTCGTGTGCAAACTCTTTAAGAATGACCCTAAAAACATTAAGGGTGTTTTCACACCATGAATGTCCTTCGGTCCACTTGTTCGGTCCAGAACAAATAGCGGACTTTTTTTTTCCTTTGGCGCAGCTTGTATTCACATTGTGCTTTTTGCAAGTGAATTTATAACAAAGCCACACAGGTGAGGATCATTGCTCCCATTGGACAGAAATGATAGGGACAGGGCAGAGCACAGACACAGAAACAAAGATGGTGCTGTTAACACAACTAACTATAACTATCAACAGCTCATTCAGTGGCGGTTTTGCGATGATATACGTACAATTTTGGGACAGCGTTGTCAAATGCTACAACCTAAAGGAGACAAGATGCTCCGCATTCTCTGACCCACAACAGCTCATTGTTTGTAGCGTAGTGTAAAGGCTCGGTTATAGTTGCGCTCTGGGTATTCGCGCATGCTCCGTGGAGTGCGCTTGCTTGGAAGTCGCGCGCTGTTCTTCTGTTGYCAACAGATGGCAGTACAGTGCCAAACCAKTGGGAAAGTAGTATGAGAGAGTGTAGAACAAGAAACACTTGAGGTAGCACATAAAGTAACCACATTTACYTCTTTCTCCATATTATCTGTTTCTCTGTGCTTCACGAACTGAGATCCACACTGGTTTGTTTCCTCCAGAATCACCACTTATGCTGACCTTCTTCTTGGCTTTCACAAACCGGTCGCAAATGTTTTTCCATGTCTTCCGGCACATTAACTCATCTTTCTTTAAAGCCGTTGCTATATCCTTCCATGAGTTTTGTGCCATGTGGTTGTCTTTATGATCTCATGGAGGGATCATACAGATGCCGGTACATTCGGACCTGTTGGAAGTCGCGACGAGTGGCGCCTAGCCTTCGTGAAGTTTCAAAATTTCGGAGGTGCACGACCATGCGCCGGGACACCACGTGGGGCCAACGCGCAGGGGCGGGGATGGCGCGATTGCGTCACTTTTGGCGCGCACCCCCTTGCACCCGGTACGACTCATCAACTATAAACCAGGCTTTAGCATTACCAACACTGGAGGGCTAATGTTGCTTAGCTACAGTGGCCCGTGAAGTCCAAAAAGGCAACATTTCCTGTAGTTGGTTGAGTTCAAGGCCGGTCTGTATTCACACCAGTAGCAAAGCAAACAAATGTTTGTTTAGAAGTGGATTATGACCACCTCAAAAATGGGCATTGGCCCAGTTGGTTGATCTACAAGGGTTCACACGAGTGTATCCACAGACCAATGGTGATCTGTTTAAAGTGGACCAAATATGTCGGATGGGAATACACCCTAAAAGAGACAAACTCYTTCAATTTCAAGTCATTCTGCAGTAGATTCCAATCTGAAGGAGCAGCAAAGTCAGTTTAAAGAGAGGAAGTAGAAAGGCAAACTTCCAAACCAAAGGGATTTGGCATGAATTAAGAGAAATATTAAAAATATATCAGAAGGGATGAAATAAAATCAACAGCTTGTTTCAAGGAAAAATGCATTRAGGCGATCTGGACCTGCTGATTCTTTTAGAATCTAAACCTTTGATTGCATTATGTTCTTCTGAAACTGTTAAAAAAAGGAAAAACAATGTGATTGTGCCACAGATGACTGATTGTCAGAACTGGTGGGGGAGAAATCATTTTGTGGAGTACCGAGTGATTCAAAAATAGAACTTGAAGCAAAAAAATGCTTGTTAAAGCGATCAAGCAGCTCTGACCTGTCAGACATAATACAGTGGGGAAATAAAGTATTTAGTCAGCCACCAATTGTGCACGTTCTCCCACTTAAAARGAKGAGAGAGGCCTGTAAGTGACATCATAGWTAGACCKCAACTATGARAGACAAAATGAGAAAACATCTAGAAAATCACATTRTCTGRTTTTTTAAAKAATTTATTTGCAATTTAGTATTTGCCCAATAAGTATTTGGTCAATAACAACAAACAAGAAAGACTTCTGTCTCCCACAGATCTGTAACTTCTTCTTTAACAAAAGTTAATCTCTAATACTTTATATATCCTTTGTTGGCAATGACAGAGGTCAAACATTTTCTGTAAGTCTTCACAAGGTTGGCACACACTGTTGCTGGTATGWTGGCYCATTCCTCCTCTAGARCAGTGATGTTTTGAGGCTGTCACTGGACAACACAGACTTTCAGCTCCCTCAAAAGGTTTTCTCTGTGTTGAGATCGGGAGACTGGCTAGGCCACTCCAGGACCATGAAATGCTTCTTACAAAGCCACTCCTTGGTTGCCCTGGCAGTGTGCTTGGGATCATTGTCATGCTGAAAGACCCAGCCACGTTTCATCTTCAGTGATTGCTGATGGAAGGAGGTTTGCACTTAAAATCTCACCATACATGAACCCATTCATTATTTCATGTACACGGATCATTCATCCTGGTCCCTTTGCAGAGAAACAGCCCCAAAGCATGATGCTGCCACCTCTGTACTTTACAATAGGTTTGGTGAACTTTTGATGCAACTCCGCATTCACTTTCCTTCAAACACAACGARTTGTGTTTTTACCAAATAGTTCTACTTTGGTTTCATCTGACCATATGACATTCTCCCAATACTCTTCTGGAACATCCAAATGCTCTCTAGCAAACTTCAGACGTGCCTGGATATGGACTGGCTTAAGCAGGGGGACACGTCTGGCACTGCAGGATCTGAGTCCCTGGYGKYGTAGTGTGTTAATGAYTCMTTACYGATGCCTTTTTAACACTAGCATCCTTCTGCAGGTCATTTACTAGCCCCCCCACCCCCACCCCCCGTGTGGCTCTGGGATATTTGCTCACTGTTCTTGTGATCACTTTGACCCCGGGGGGAGATCTTGCATGGAGCTCCTGATTGGAGGGAGCTCCCTTTCCGGAGGGAGATTATCAGTGGTCTTGTGGATTTTATTTTCTTATTATTGCTCCCACAGTTGATTTCTTCACACCAAACTACTTGCCTATGGCAGATTCAGTCTTCCTGGTTTAGGTCTACAATTTTGTTTCTGGTGTCTTTAHACAGCTCATTGGTCTTCACCATAGTGGAGTTTAGAGTGTGACTGTTTAAGGTTGTGAACATGTGAACATGTGTCTTTTATACCGATAAGTTCAAACAGGTGCCATTACTACAGAGTGGAGGACAGAGGAGCCTCTTAAAGAAGAAGTTATAGATCTGAGAGAGCCAGAAATTCTGTTTATTATTGACCAAATACTAAGTTTTTGTGGACTCGGAGAAGGCATTTGACCGTGTTCCTCGAGGTACACTGTGGGTGGGGTACTACACGAGTATGGGATTGTGGGTCCATTGTTACGGGCCATTCAGTCTCTATACAAGCGCTGCAAGAGTTTGGTTCACATTGCCGGTAGTAAGTTGGACCCCTTGAGAGTGGGAGTTGGACACCACCAGCTATACCCAATATAAACTAACCGCTAATGTTAATTTAATGAAAGTCAAATATTCAACCTATAAATACACAGCTAAAAACTTAAATAGTAGTAGCCGAAAATAATCTTTAACAAACTCTGATTGCAAATTAAAAATCCATGTTGGCCACCAAATCTGAAAAGGAAAATATATTATAAATCAAAATATTTAACTTAACTAAGTTGAAATTAAGTGTGGTGGTAACAGAGTGATGGCCAACAGATTCTGAATTCCAATTTAAAAAATATAAGACCGCTACCAAAGCTAAATTCAAAGGGATCAATTCAGCTAATTTGAAACAAATTAGGAGCTGCAAWCACCAACATCTAGTAAAGTAAAAACTTAAATTTAAAATGGTAGCCACATGGCAGTATCAAAGTTTATCAAGGAACTTTTCTAGTTGCTCTGTCATTCCCTTTTACATCAGGTAATACAGCTGCTTGACAGATGTTTACTCTGTTTTTGTTCTAACTGGACATATTTCATTGCCACATGCRATTTCTACCCCACCTGTCAATCATATGGGGGTGGCACCTGGGGTGGCACCAACAAACTAACTCTKGCTCTGGCCCTGTTGTTACTCTTATTTTACTTTTAGCTTAGAGCTACTGTTTTGCTACTTTTAACCTAAAGCTACCATTTTGCTACTTATAGCTAACATTCTGCTACCTTTATCTTTTAGCTAGAGATGCATGATAAAGCAGCATTAACATCRGTATTGACCGATGTTGGTCATTTTTTGAAATTTCGGTGTCAATTGTAGGGGTTTTCCCTCARAGAAATTGTAATTTCCTTTTTCCACACAGTACTCAGCTATACATCAGTTTTTTTGTTTGTTTTAACAGTAATAACCCAATCCTATTGTCCTGCTGTTTCTGTTGTACTCCTGCTGGCTCTCCTCTCAACTTCCAGTGAAGAGTTGAACAGTTTAATTGCACGAGGAACAAAGGAGTTCCTCAGTCTGTTAGTCCTGCACTTGGGAAGAAGCAGTCTCCCACTGAACTTGCTTTCCTGGCTGCTGATGCCAGTGTGCAGAKGGTGGTTGTCATTGGGCCTCAWGCAAGAACATGTTCGTATTCTTATCCTAAATTTCTCCTACTTTTGTTCGTACAAAGGGTTCGTACGAACATGTCACGTCAGATTCAACAAACTCTTCTATCTTCAGGAAAAGTGTGTAAATGAGCTGCGTAAATTCCACCTGTTCACTCGTACGCACAACTTAAGAACAAATCTGTTCGTACCAACGGTTCTTGCATGAGGTCCATTGTTTCTATTAATTACTTTTAAGTAAATACTGTATATATTTTTGTCAGAACTATGTAGGAGGCAGGTGGGTGTGAAACAAAGCAGATTTTATTGCTTTATGATTGACCGTAGCTCGGAGTTTATCTTTACCAACACAAACAAAAAAGAAAATTGTTTGACAGCCTCCATTTCAAAACTTACAACCATAAAATAGTCGTAGGAACTTGGGGTTCAAGCCTGTCGTGTTAAGGAAACTGCTGGAACATCAGTGAAGAACATTTTATATTGCCATGAACTGAGAGGTGGCTAACCAAGAAAGAAGCTCCTGGATGATGAACTCAAACATATCAAAGCTGGATTCTGGTTGGATAAAACAGGCTAACTATAAATGTCTGGAATGGCCTTCCTGAAAAATCTCCAATTTCAACCATAATCCAACTTTGTGGACCATGTTTAAAAACCAACTACTCTGACAAAAGGAGTGATCAGTTATTCAGACCAAATTATGTCAGAAGTTTGCTGATTAAAATAAGAAGTGTGAATGAGCAGCAACTTGCCAAGACATTTATTGTAATTATAATGGTAATTTGAAAATTTACCCCAAAATTCATCTACAAAGTTGAATGGTTGGTTTGCACAGGACTAAAGTTTGAACATTTTTTATGGAGGTCACATCTGTGTTTTTGTG